AATAATATATTTTCTTATTGAAAAAGAGGAAAGATATTAAAGGTTGTCAATTAAGGAGATTCTCCCTCATGATGAGGTTACAGTATTGAACTTCCAATTTAAAATGAAAATAATATTTTTTAAGATACTGATTTACAGATATAATCAACATTTGATTCAGTGAATGATCCTAAGCCAGCAAGTGCCTTTGGTTATAATTATGAGACCCCAAATTTCAAAGGGAAGGAAGCATGAAGCCAGATGATTTGAAATTTGAAAGTTACCCAAAATAAATAGATAAAAGTAAAAGAAAGCAGATTAAGATTTGAGGCTAGCAGAACATAAAAAGTTCATAGAACATTATTCATTATGTTAACATTTGCAGTTAATGAGGATATCAGTTAAAAGAATGAAAAATTTTATATATATATATATATATGTGTGTGTGTGTGTGTATATATATATATATATATATATATGAAAACCAACTCACATCACTTCTTCATCAGATCTGAAAATTGAAGTAGTTACGGCAATTAGGAACAAGTAATAGGGTTGGCAGGTAAAGGAAAAGCCTCAACTATAGTGCTCTTCAATCTACAAGGATCCAACCACTCAATGCTAAGAAAACAAGGACTACAACTAAATTCAGTATCAAGTTTTTCTTTGCCATCTAATTAGGCACAACTGAAATTCCAAGAATAAGTTGAAGACAGGATAAAAATCAAGGAATTTAATAGGTTTCAATTGGCAAAGGAGGTACACCAACCCTTCAGACTGTGTAAACAATGTCAATTTGAAAACTTTATCCATGACCTTTTTGTAAAGATCTTTCTTCTGCCCTCCACTCACTCACACACAGAATACTTTAGGTGATCAAGAAAGAATGTCAGAGAGACATTTGACCAGTTTCTCTTGAGCATCCAAAATAAAGAGACAAGAGGCAAAAAGAAGAGGAGGAGTCTTCTCTTAGCAACTGGTTAACAAACAAGAATTTCTTTGCACAGTTCTTCTGATGCTTATATAGCAATAGGAAAAAAAAAGTCAGTGAATGTAATTATACTAACAAATGTTCAACACAGTTCAGATGTTGAAGGAGATTTATTAGGGAAAAAGCCATAGGGAAATGTAGAAAAATAAATGAAATTTAAAAAAAAAAGAGAAAAAAAAAAAAAAAGGAAAATCAAATAAAAAAATACTCAATACAATGACAACAACACTAATGGTTTCATAATATAAACAAGTTGTATTGAATAGCCTCCAAACACAATACATCAAATTATAGTCAGGGTCTATTATCACCATTATTATTTGTAATTCATGAAATTTGCCACTGAATAGGCATTCAATAAGATGTGTTCAGCATCTGAACTACAAAACAAGGGAAGAGTAGGAGAAGAAAGGAAATTGAATGAACTCTTAAAACTCAATGGGTCATAAAATGATACCACTAACACAGAAAAAAGTACCATAAACCAAGAAAGGGAGAAAGTGATGAATAAATGTAGGCAGCTTTAAGGAAAATGTTCCCTCCCTTCCCTTTGCTCTTTCAAAATGACAAGTTGTACAGCTGGAGACAGGTTAAATGAGAAAGTTCAAAGATTTTTTTTTTTTTTAATCAGAAGAGTTAAGAAAACACGTATGCATTTAGTGTATGCAACTGATTATATATACCTCCAATAAACATACTTTTATTATTTATGTACATCTACACCTAAAAGATTACAGGACCTTGGAAGATAACAGTAAAAAAGTGAATGAGGGTGCTTCAGAACAAAATGTTGTGTAACTTTACATTCATTAAAGTACAGGAGACACTCATCTGTAATAGGAGACATTTTGCCACACTTTACAAACAAAATCACTTTTTAGAAAAGTATGCTGTGCCTATGCATCATACTTGCAGATGATATTTACGATGAAACCTCAAAACAGCCAAGTTATGTGTGCATAGATAAATATGGAGGTTGTATCAACTTTAAAAGTAGTTCATAATATTACAAAATGAGTCATTTGTAACCAAGTGCATCAGTTACTTGGCTTAAAATGTTAAAAAAAAAAAAAAAAATTTAATTAAGGTAAATAAAACAGTTTAAATTGTTTTTCTCACACCAACGCAAAAATCTCAAAATACTATATACACTTTTTCCAGATATCAAAAAAAAAAAAAAAATAAAAATAAAAATAATAATAATCATCAAGAAAAATAGATTAGTTCTTCTGAAAAAATAAAAATTAATAAAATGATTTTTCTGGCACAATGACAATTATATATCATGTAACATTTTTTTTGTACTGACAAACATGGAGCACATAAGACTGTCTGTGTTATTCATTGCAAATCTATCAAGAGAACTAGGATGGATTTGTGTTCCTTTCCTAATAGTCAAATGCAAAAAGACTGACAAAGATTTTAACATTTAAATATAAATTAAAGAGACCAAACAAAATTTCATTTCAATAGTTGAAAAGTAGTAGACAATGTTAAAAATGCTTGTTAAAAGTTAACTGCTAGCAGGTTATAAAGTGTTATATACTACAATAGAAGCAGAAATGAGAGAAACATCTTTAGAGAAGAAAATGGGGATTTAGAAAAAAAAATTATGTCCCACTGATGTGACTAACATGCAAAATGTACCTTAAGCACAGTGAGAGATAAAAGGTAGAAATAGATACATTTCTCATTCAGAATTAGTAGAGTAGCAGAGATAGCAAAGAGGTTTATTATTACCATCAAAACCAAAGAGAAAAAAAGGGAATTCAAAAACAGAGTTATAAGTAGACATAAAAATGTCAGCAAGAGACTAGAACCATAAGACAGATTGGGAGCAAAGACAAAAGAAAGGACAAAATCATTTGACAATGTCAAGAAAAGGACAAAGTCCGTTTTAGACCAATGAATATCATACAAAATAATTAGAGTATCATTCTTGGTACATTAACACTTATCTGGGTTTAATATAATTTTTATCTTAATTATAACAAACTTAACTTTTCAATAAAATCCACTTGCTAATTTAGAGAAAAGAAAACTTATAACATTTTCATGTGCCATTAAAATAGAGGAAAAGCAATAATTAAAATAAGAGCTCAGTATTATCTAGAGATTTGTTTTCTCATAAGAATTCACAGGTATTTTAATAAGTTACAGTTTATTTTAAACATATATCTTTATTAGGTGCATGATAGTGTTCCTTCCTTCCTTCCTTTAGGTGCCATGCATGATGCAGGCTTGGTAGGTTGGGGGTCCTGTCTTCTTTTGATTTATAACTGACTTGGCAGAAGAATTCCTGCTGTTGACTGCCTTTACTTTTTGTAGTAAACTGATTGCCAACCAAGGCTATAGAACCCAGTAAGTCCTGCTATTTAACCCATAACTGAAAGAAGAAAAATGGATTTATACCTTTCCCAAGGATATTTGCATGTAAGTGAATGTAACAAACTCAATTTGAATTTGGTTCTCCAATTTCTCATTTGAGCTGTTGTCCATCACATCACCTGCACATCCAAGCTTACCACTTGGAAATACCAGGTGTTGTATTTCCAAGCAGTCACCCATCTTGATACTGACTAAGCTTGATGTTGCTTAACTTTGATGATCAGACAAGATCTGGTGTTTCAATAGGATATGGCCATAAACAATGTGTTAGAATATGTTAAAATTTCCTCTTTGGAACATTATCCAGTCATTACAATATATAATGGTGCATTACAGTTACTAAAAAATTATTTGTCACTATCTATACACATCTATTTATTTGTCACTATCTATACACATATATTACAAATTATATAAACTTGCATCATTAAAAGCAACTTGGAAAAGACTCCACTAAAATTCAAATTATCATAGAAACATTGCTATCATTATAGACTCTTGATTTTAACTACTTAGTGAAAAAGAAAAAAATCAACTGTCTTAAAAATGTGTCAGGTTTCCCCACCTCGCCCAAAGTAAATTGCATAATGATTTTAAAAATATAGAATGTACGACTTATCTATTCATCTACTGGGAATGTTGACCAATGATGAAACTTTACAATTAGAATCTAATGGATAATCATAAGCAGACATCTCAAACTTAAATACCATGTCTCATTCACTGATATATAAGACCTAATAACTCCACTCCTTCAATTTCGCTAGACAAAGAATTTTGTTCCTTTTATATTCTTCTATACATTTTCAACTATAAGATTCAAACATTCTTCTCTTTCTCACATACAATGAAAGAATCAAATTGATTCTTTAATTAAATTAAAAAATTAAAAATATCAACACAATACAAAGAAATTTTTAACCTTAATCAAATCAATACTACAATATATTTTACTTGTTCATTATCATTTTCTCTTTCAGCAATTTAGAATTGAACAAAAAAAAAAAAAAAAAAAAAAAAACTTAGCTAAAATTGGTTTGAATAAAGAAAAAACTTTTAAAGCATAAGTCAATGAGCAAAACAAATTTTTAGCAAATAAGCTTTTAAGATATTAGCAATTAAAATTGTGTTAGCAGAAGTACAAGAAAAAAGATTTTTCAAAAGTAAGTTTTGAGAATCTAAAAGGTGAATTAGTTTTGCTTGCAATGGTTTGTATAGTTCCAAGAGAGATTTCAGTTGGTTAACTAGAAAGAATGTGATGAGAAAGAGCAAGGAATATATAAAGTGAATTATATCCAAGTAAAGCCATCAAGCTAAACCATATTTCCTGATGTTGACAAAGAAAAGTATGGATAGAAATAAGGGATTCAAGTAAAATTGCTGCTGCTGCTGCTAACTAAGCAGCAGAGTAAGGCAGCAGGAGCAGTAGATAAGAGATTAATAGAAAACAGAAACAAGCAAAAAGTAATATATTAGAGGAACTAGTGTTTAACAAGCAGTTCTGGTTAACTAAAAGGGATCAAACTTTATCCCTCAACCAGAAATAGTTAAAAGAAAGGAAAGAGATAGTAATATAAAGAAACCCGATAGATAAGCCAAGGATTTTTTTTTTTTTTTATTAGGCAAGGCAGCAAGGTCTTACCGAGTCTCATGGAACGCAGAATTACCAGTGGAATTCATATCACTAGGACCTGACTGAGGTCTGTAAATAACAAAATGTTCATGTAGTATAGGCCAAGTTCTTGGACTAACTTAAAATTATATGAAGGAAAATCAATAGGATAGCTAAGGGGAAAAGTTTGATGGTTATGATAAAATAAGATGAATTACTGAAAATAAAATGGATGTATTACAGATGAAACAAAACTGAAAAGAATAAAGGAAAAATGAAATAAATTATATAAATTAAAAAATATATAAACAAAAATATGCTGTTTTTTAAATAGGATAAAAGTTTTTGCTTGCTTTTTTTCCCTGAGCAGTTACTATTTCATATCTCCATCCACACCAACCTTTACATTCCATTTTTAATAAAAATATGCACGCTATGTAACAATTGAGAAATGGAATATCTGAACGAAGCTGTTGCTGAAACAAATTTACCAAACTTCTTAAAAAAAATTTACCAATAAATACAAATAACAAGACATGCTTTGCATAATGATTCTAATATCAAACATCACATTATATTAAATATTTGAAACTAATATTACTTTATCATAATGATGACCATGTGTCATCAAAAGGTCACTGTATAGCTGAGCACTTGACCAGCTCCCTCCGTATGTCTCAGTTTGTGTGCTAATGTGAGTTTCTGAAAGATCTTCCAGTCCACTCAGTGACATAATCAGCCCATCTCCCCTCTGTCTGCCTAAGGTAGTAACTTGTAGGATGGTAGTAGAAAGATTTTCAGCTCTTGTGAAGTCACCATGCCATTTTAACTTCCTCTTGACACTGCTTATGAGATTTTGCAACAGGCCCAATTTCTGTCTGATGTGGTCTTATACAGCATCATTTGTGATGCAGTCTATGTAGGCGATGCCAGGGATGGCTCTGTATCATCTTATTTCTAATCCTTGGATTCTTTGTAGTTCTGCTATTAATGTCCAAGATTTGCAGGTGTACACAAAGGGCAATCTATGCAAGTGTCTGATCTTTGATTTCAGGAGGATGTTCATGTCTTTACAGATAGTTTGGGGACAGCTGCCATATACATGTTGCTCTTGAAATTATTTCTATTCTGGAGCCATCTTCACTGACAACTGAATAAAGATATTTCAATTGGCTCTTCTTTAAGTTTGTGACAACCAATTTACCTTGGTTGAAAACTCTTGAAAGCATGTTTTTTTTGTTTTTGTTTTTAGTTGATCAAGCATGTGATACTTTTCATCCTTTATCTTATCTTCATGCCAAATCTAGAGAATGGTTCATCCAAGTTCACACAACTGATGAATTCCTCTTCTTTGCAAACTACTCCATCTATGTTATCTTCAAAGTGAAGGTTTGCGATGTGACCTACAATACTAACTACAATGGGGGTGATGTTCCTTTCTCTGATCTTACTGTTTTCATCAGTTGCATACTTGACATGTCTGTCCTGAAGAATAACAACAAGCATGGCCCTTTTTATCTGAGGCAATGACTGATCCAGTATGAAAGTCAACATTACTAGGTAGAGGGTTTCCTTGACTAAAGCTAGTGGTCAAAGTGAATGGTTGCCTTGATGGGATCTGCAACCAAGACAAGCCTTCTAACAGGACATTGGCTGTGGTCAGACCTAAAGAGGTGATGGGCACTGCTATGCCTACTTTGCCCAAGATATGCTACATATGAATAAATTACCTTCAGAATTTTCATTATAATAATAAAAAAAAAACAAAAAACCAAAAAAAAAAAACACAATGTCTATTCGTCTACAGCTCTCTTTATGTGAAAATGAATAACTCCACAGCCAATACCTTTTAATTCTTCAGAAAATAGGTACAAATAAAAATTCCCAATTATCATAGCTAAGACAATCCAGCATAAACAATGTCATTCTAAATAAGTTTAGATGAGGGTATACAACTTTTGTTACTGTACCTGCAAATCTAATTAGTTAATTGTTTCATCTCAATCTCATTCTACATTTCTAAAATAAACTCTAAAGACATTTCAATAATCATATAAGCAAGTATTAAAGTGACTGAATTCTCATTAACCAAAATGAGCAGAATATTTTGTCGGAAACAATTGAAATAAGAAAAATTTTTACCTTTATATTTCTGGTAAAAATTTCAGCAGAGCAAAGATGGAGTAATACATTTTTTTTGATAAATAAGTCTAAGTAAATACAACCTGTATAAAATTTTAATTAAATTAAAAATTTTAATACTAAGTAATACCCAAACTATGCTTTGATGAATCAAACATGTGAAGAAAAACAAAAAATAGCAAATTTTAATATCAACAAAGTGAAATTATTGTTATATTATATATATATATATATATATATATATATATATATATATATATATATATATACACTAAATTTTTCATCATAATATTTTTCTTGGATATCTTGCCTAAAATAATTTATATGAAGGTTAAAAGATACAAGATTTTGAAAACAGTATTTCAATTAAATGTCAAAGGAAATAAAATATAATACTAGATCGTGAATACTTCTGAAATGAAAACCATAAAATGAATATCCATATATTTTCAAAAATGGCTCCATGTCTTGGGGGGGGGGGGAATTGCCTCCCTTCCCACAAGTCAAACCACTGAAAATATTGCCTTGATTTTCCTTTTTATTTTTTTAATCTATTTCAAATTCAATCATGAGCAAGGTTAGGGCTATTTATAGAAAACTAGTCAATGCAATCCAATATCAATTTACTTTATTTTCATCTCATAAATATAATAAATGTTTAGGAAACATTAGAGAGATGGATGCAAAGACAAAATATCAAAAAAAAATCATCAAAATGTATATTTCATTGTGGAGAAAAAAATCTAAATATACCATAATTATAGTCTTGTAAAATTAAATTTGGTATTACAAAAATATGTAACCTATAAAAAAAAAAAAAAAACTTTACAAGAAAAAGTAACTTTTTTTTTTTTTTTTTTACATAGACTTTCAAAATAATTGCTCTAGCCTTCATTTCTGAATACAGTAAAGAAAAAACTGCAATCTTTTTTCAGATAAACCTAATTTGCACATGTGATATTAAAAATAACATCATGATAACAAGGAGTATAAAAAAGAAATTAGATAACATGCAGTGTTCATCATTAGTAGATAATTTAGGTTGGTCTATGAGGTAACTGCAAGGATTATTTTCAAATCATGCTTAACATGCTATTAGGGAAAATACTGCCAAGAGCTTTTTCATACAAAAACTTTTACATTTTTGTAATGGTTAAATACAAAAAAGTAACTGTAAAAGTTGATGGGAAAATTTAATTTTAATTTTTTGTTAAATACTTTTTTCAAAAATGATGACAAGATTATGGTATAAAATGCGATTTAGCATTTGTAACACAAAACCTCTTTTGCTAGTAATTTTGACCTGTGTTAATTTAATGCTTTCTACAATATTGAAAAGTCTAAGAATGTGACAAAATTTTTAAAAATTGCTTCTTTGCAATAATAATAATAATAATATGACAATTATCGATTCTTTTGAAGTTCAGAAAAGTAGCCTTCCTATATATCCTCAATATTAATAATGAATATCCCATAAGGATTGTGGATAAACATTTTGGTAATTATTCAAATGGTGTATATATATATATATATATATATATATATATATATATATATATATATATAGTGTGTGTGTGTCAAAGAGAAAAGGACTATCAAGGCAGACGTCATTGTTAAAATCTACTAGAGGGTGAAACGCAGTGCCTAAGATCAGTTTTCTTTTCATTAATATTGCCTCTTTTACAGATATATTTTTAGTTATTTTTGAAAATCTGTGTGTGCGTATGTATGTACGTGTATATATTTATTTATTTATTTATTTATTTATTAGGTACCTCCAATTTTTCACTGAAAAAAAAAAAAAAAAAAAAAAGCATAGCATGAAAAAAGGCCCCAAACCTAATAAAGACAAAGTTTTATCAGCAAAATCTTTGACATTAAGAGGAAAGATCAAAGAATTTTTTTATTAATTCATTAAATTTTTTAATCCTTTCTAGCACATTAAAAATTTTGATAAGTTTTTTTTGTGCCAGTGGTCGTAATATTTACAATTAATGCTTTAGCACCATTTTTTCAGGTGAAAAACACATGGATTTGGAAATTTTTGCAAAAATCAAATAATTGTTAGATTTTAATTAAACTTTTAGGACTTATTCAGAAATTAATGAAATTATTTTTGATATTTTTTTTTTTTTTATGTTAAAATAATTTGATGTAATTTCGAGAAATTAAATTTCAGTCTCAAAATTTGTTTTATTAGTTAAATGCAGGAGGCCTTGGAGAAATTAAATCATCAGTTTTTTTTGGTAAAACAGGACACCCAGTTACCAAAAATCTGATCTGAATCATAAAAAAAAAAAAAAAAAGCAATAAAACTGACATTAATTAGAAAAGCTTTTAATTGCTTTTAGATTTAAGATTTCTTAAGGACACTATGGTCTTAAGAACAAAAAGTTTTTAGTGAATAATGAAATTTTTACAAGAATTATTTTCATCTTTTTTAATTTTAATTATCTTTTATATTAAGTCGTTTAAAATTCTACATTACTTCAATCCGGTTAGTTGATATTGTTATTAAGTGAAAACTATATTTACAAATCAAAAATTGAAAAGTCATTTCCACACAATATTTAAAAAAAAAAAAAAAAAACAAAAAAACTTTTTTTTTTTTTGCATATAAACGTTCACAATTTTAAAAATTACTAGGAAGTTAAAAACTTAAAAAGTGTTTACTTAGATTTCATAAATTTATGTCAATTCTAGTCAATCATACTTAACTGTCAACACATCAGGCTGTCAATAAGTCAATCAGCACATCATTAAAACAACACTCTGTAGTTAAGAAATGCTTGTATACTACATTTTATATTATAAGTAAGTAATATTTGATTCAAATTAGATTCATTTAATTTTAAATTTGCTAATTTTCCTCAAGTAACATGTCAATAATATATATTTTATTTTTGGAAGATTTTTAAAAGCAAGAATTAAATTTTGTTTACAAATACTAAAATGTGTCAAAATGGACAAATTTAAATGATTTTATTTGAAAATGACCAAAAAGTTGAGATTCCAGTCAATATAATTTCTGTTTGAAATACACCAGGGTATTTTGCTTACTGAAAATAATAAATTTAATCATTTAGCTTTCAATTAAAGCTAAAAAGAAAGCTTTTTCATTCATAAAAATTCATTTGAAACCAAGTATTTCAAAGCAATGCAATCTTTATCATAATAAATCAATTCCTTTTCAGTATGTCATCTAACACAACTATCTGTAATATGCAAGTGATATATAAGTAACTGAAAGATATGAGATTTAAGTAAACACATGTGCTGTTTATTTCTCAGATTGAAAGCCTAACAACAATGTTTTAATAAGTGCATATGTAAAATCTACAATAGCTAAGCACTACAAAAAATTGCCTCACTTATGACATAACATTAACTGTTGCTAATCAGAGAAAATAATGCAGCCATACATTTATTCTCATGCAATCAGCAATATAAACAACAAAACGAAAGTAAATATGTAATGGTGTGCAACAATGTAATTTCAATGTATTTCATTATTCAATTGTGATTTTACCTTAAAAGCAAAATATCTTTACTAGAAGTAATTCTGCTCAACTTGGAAAAATATCAATATTTCCAAGTTCTACTTTAAGAGAAAAATAAAATCTCTTCAGAGCTGAAGCTTTACAATATCTATGAAGTGCATAACAAACCATATATTTGGACAATACAGTAAGTCTTGTACTTTACAAAGAGGGTGCCAAACAAAATTAATTCACAAATTTTGTGTAAGTAGAATTAAGTAATGTTTGACCTGCACACTCTTGTTGACATTGCACATCCAATAAGCCAGCATAAACATTGAAATGTTCTTAATTTTATTACTATGACAAGTTGGTATTTTCTCTTATATAGAGCTTTTAGGACTATTCAATGCTTTGTCTCAAAGGGGGAACTGAGTAACTTGCTAATGAAACAGACAAGATATACAGTTCAATTTTAAAACAAGTGAAATAAAAAAAAAAATAAACATTTAAGAGAAAAAGAAATATCACTTGTTATCATGAGAAGGAAAGCCCAAGCAAACAATTCTTGTAAAATGGTCATTTGTATTCTTTGTGAAAAACACTGAATACTAAAGAAATATTTATAATTATGTAAAGTTCTTTTAACATAAGAATTTATAGAATAAAAATTGTATATTGTAAAAGTTCCTTTTCATAATGCTGATGTAAAGCGACTACATTTTTTTCTCTTTTGGAATGACAGTTAATTAGTACAGCATAAAAACTACTGCAGTATCATTAAATCCTGAAGTAAATGCTACTGAAAACAAATCCTTTCATTGCTTTTTTACAAAGCTATAAACAATGTTTTTCTATTATTCTTATCAGGTAATTTTTTTCTTCCCTGTTTTCCTTTAACTTAAAAAGGATGAATTTTCTTTGTTTTTTTTTATGTTACTAATTCATCAAATTTTACTTCAAAATGCCTTGAAAATTTCTCCATTATTCTACACCAAAATTAACTATGAAAATTAATCAGATACTACACCTACCACACTTACAAAAATAAAAAAAAAACATCCATCTCACTTTTCTGAAAATTTTACAGAGTCATAAGTGTATGTGAATCAATGATATCATATATAATAAAAACTTCTTGAGAATCTTTTTCATTAACTACAAAATATTAATGTCATTCAGAATAAAATTTTCCAAAGACACAAATTGCACATTACTGAATTCTGATTGAAAGATATTTTCAGTTATTCATTAACTAAACAAAAACTAGAGATGCTGTCAGTCAATATTTTACTACGTGTTATATTTAATTTCTTATTATTGTCCTGTATTATATGAGGGTCTGAAGTCAATATATGATGTCTATGTTTGCATAATCTCAAGACAGGCAGTTTAACAAGATTACAGAAAACTGATAAAGAGGTCAAATTCTAATAAATCAAAATAACCTTTCATAGAAGCAAAGAAAGTAATTTTTATTTTTTTTTTGTTTCCTTTACCAGTTAAAGTTAATATATAATTAAGAGTATGTGTATACATTTCTAACAGGCAGAAAATCATGCTTGATGCATTGACTCTAAAATAAAAAATCTCAATTATCCTGCGAGAAATTAAATTTATATATAGGGTTTTTGCTGTTCTGCAGTATTTAAAAAAAAAAAAAAAATCTTACAAGGGGAGATAATGTAGTATGAAATGTATGGTTACTTCCCTTGCCTTTGTAATCGTCCATTAAAAAATTTTTAATTCTAATACTTGCTTTTATAAAATGGTATTCTTGGGAGAGGATTTTTTTTTGGGGGGGGGGACATTTATTTTCACTTTTGAAAAATCAAAATTTTAATTGGTAAAAAATTAAAAAAAAAAAAAACTTAAATTTAGTAATGAAATGAATTCTTAATTCCAATTATAAATTGGCATTTTCATTAAATCAAATGAATTGCTATAAAACAATTCATTTTACAGTTTAAGTTAAAGGAGAGCTCTTAAATATTAGTGACAAAATCATAAAAAAAAAATAAAAATATTTCATCTATCATTTATAAACTAAATTAAAAGAAAAATTCAGATAAGATAAACATTACAAAACTAAGTGTCCTAAATCTGTTACATGTTGCTGACTATTTGAATCTGCCGGATGAATATCTTGTTTATAAATAATATTTTTGTTTAAATAAGTACTGAAAAGTTCTCAGTCTAAATGATCTAATAGAATTTTATTAAGACTTCTTAGAGATGTCAAGAACTTTACAGCATCTTGTATCTTAAAAATAAAAAGAATCAAACTGTTATATAATAATTACACCAGTTTATGCTATACCTTTATAAATATAGTTTAAACACAAAAAGTAAAAGATGCTTAAATTTCAGACAAATGAGCATTTTAAAAAAAGTAAATGAATAATTATTTACACAAAAGGAATTTTTTTAATACTATTCTATTAAGATATAAACATTTTTGTCCATTCTGTTGGAAAGAAGAAATTAAAAACTTTAGAAAAACATTTTAATTACATTTTTCTTAATATGCTGTAATTGTTTAAAATCAAAGTTATCTCATTTCAATTTCTGAACAAACCTTATATTTTAGCCTGAACAAATCTACACTCACTGAATGAAAGTATTACAGTAAATGGACCATGTGTAATTTTGCAGCACACATTTCTATTGACAGCATTAAACATTTTCAACTGTAAATTTTCACTCATTTGTGCAAAGGATGTTGCAGCTTGTATAGCAAATGCAAGACTGAGTAGTGTTGGGAGGGGTCAAATACTGGGTAGCTGCTTGTTGAAATGGTTGGGACATGCCTTCTTGTTCAGTAGGGCAGTTAGGCAGGCATGCAGAGAATTAGCTTTGTGTGCTTGACCACACAAAATGCACAATTTCATAACAAACCTGGTAGGAAAATGATGGCGATGACGGGAATCATAGAGATATCCCCGGTACCTGAAATTCAGTTCAAAATAAATGTAAAATGAAAATGGAAAACAAATACGAAATGCTCCACACTCACTAATTTGGGACTAAAGTATTTTAATCATTATTGAAATGTTTTTGGTTTATTCTCAATATTCTTATCTCTACACTATTTTTTTGGTGGTTATAAATTTTCACGCTTCAAACATTTTAATATACTGAAAGCCGTCAAATAACATCATCTAAGTGTTCCATTTACAGGTCATTTTATTTAACATGATTTTCAGGAATACTAAAATCTATATGGGTCATGTAAGAAAACGTATGACAATCATTCATTATTATCAAATATTTTTTCATTTGGATTTTGTTATTTTTTATCTCAACTCCCAATTCATCATTCTATAATTGTTACTTTGCTGAGCAGATTGGAAATAAAGAATAAGCCTCCAGCCAGAGAGCACTGATGTTTTTGTTGTTTTGTTGTATTTTTTTTTCTTTTTTCCTTTTAGGGCTTATCAACTCTTTGCCAGTTATTTAAAGCTAAAACATATTTTGAATTGTAAGAATTCTTTTTCTGCAAGTGAATATTGCATTAAAATGTTTTTTGAAAATAACAATTTTTCAAGATACAAGTCCTACTATTCAACTTATAGCTGGAAGGAGAAGAGGGATGCATACTTTTCCCAAGGGTATTCATATTAAGTGATTATAACAACTGGAATTTGAATTCAACTCTCCAATTTCTGATTCCAAGCTTCTATCAATACACCACCCACATATCTACTCCAGCAAGAGAAATATGACCTAATATTATATATATATATATATATATATATATATATATATATATATATATATATATATATATATAGATATAAGCCAACATCCACTGCATTGTAACATGAAATATGTCACTACATGTTTTGTTCATATTTTAAATTTAGACATTTTAAATGTATAACCACAAAATCTGCTCAAATAAAATTTTGATAAAAGAAAAATTTTTGTATACTTAAGTATCTGCATTGGTTTTCAGTTATTACTTTTGTGTACTTAAGTATCTGCATTGATTTTCCGTTAATTTAAATGTAAAAAAATTATAATATATGATAATGACAATTTAATACAAATTTAAAATGTATTACAATTTAATGTCTTCTTTAAATTTTGGCAAAAAAAAAAAAAAAAAAAAAAAAAAAACTGCATAAAATTAGTCATAAAAAATGTAAAAATTATTTTTTATATACTTAACATTGGTTTTATCCAGTTTTAACCATGGAGTGGACTATAAATAATACTGGCTTTTATTTTAATATATATTTAACATATCTAATACAGATTTTGATTTTTATAATTAATACAGACTTTTACAGTGGACATTAATGTCAATTTTTGTCATATAAAAATTAACTTTTATTACACAAAATTGATGCCTGCTGTCAGAAAAATTTGAAATTGTAATTAAAAATCTGCCAACAATGAAGTAGCCATATAGAAATAAAATCCAATGAAAATTGGTTAATTATTACTGAACTGGATTTTGAAATAAATATTACTTTTTACTTAAAATTTATTTGTTTACACTGAGTGTCTTAACTGTCAACTCAGTCCAAAAGATCAAATTGTGTGTCCAGCCACCTTTCTTTATCCAATGGTAATGAAAGCCTGCTTGAATTTACATGTGTCATGGGAGAATTGAAGTATGGATAATGAAAAATAAACCTTTCATAACTCAACAGCAAAAATATATTTCCAATGTTAAAGCATTATACCATCCAGTAAATAATGATGGACAATGTTTCATCTAAGAAATTTGAATATTATTACATTGAATACTACTAGTGAATGTCAACAAAGATGGTAGACTATGCCTGTAAAGTACCTTTGTACTCTTTTCAGAAAAGCATATTGCAAGGATAAATTTAAAATCTATTTTTTCTGATGCATTCAATCTATACTGCATAATAATGATCATAGAATGATGATGTGGGAGTTGCAATAAAAAGCAACAAGGATTCAGATGAAAGATATACAACACAAAAATTAATAATGACTAAGAAATTCAAAACCTATTACATGCATGAGAATGTTTTGTATGCTAGAAAATATAATACATTACAGAAAGAAATCAAATACAAGGGAGTCAAGTGAACTAGAAGCAAATGAGTTATGGTGCTCTTAAAATAACAAAAAAATATTTATATAAATCTTATTGATCATGAGACATCCAGGAATTCATAAATAAGACATTACTTTTTGCTGTTTCTATATTGAGTAATTCAAATCAATACCAGCCCCATACTTCTGTCAGAATACAAACTCAACATTAAGCTTTTCATGGACTCAGTTATTTTTATCAACATTGTAACAAGCTTAGTTATTTATATGTATTACACATACTGAATCTAACTAATCTAAGTACCTGTCCTAAAATAATGATCTCTGGCTACCTTTCAATAAATGATTCTGTGGAACAGACTCCCAATATTAGCCTTTTTCATCAACCATGTTGTACTTGACTTTGGTCACAGACTAACAGGTCTGTGGACAGAAACAACAATGATCTCTAAGCTTTGACTATCAATTTAAAATAAAACCTATTCATTTATAAATAAAAAAAAAAAAAAAAAAAAAGGAAAGAAAAGAAATTCCAACAATGATTTAAATACAGAAATCTAAACTACAATGGATTTTACTTAAATCATTAAATGAATTCATAAAATATAAATTTGCAAAATAAGAATATGACAAGCTTGACAAAAGCTAGAATGCAAAAATAGACTTTTTTTCATAAGCCTGAATGTAAAAATAAATAAATAAATAAAAATGTTAAGAGAAAAAAAAAAATCGGATTTTTTTTATGCTCAATTTGATAAAAAATAAAAATGAAGGTGTGGGGTGGGAGAAAAAAAATGCTATCTACAAATATCCAAACATTGAACTAATTCCATTAGTGGAGAACATGATAAAAACAGCAAAAACAAATATTAAATCCAAAGAGAAAATTTACTTACAAAGGCCTTGCAGGCTCCGACACAACCAACGTCCCGTCCTTGGTAACATTATTCTCCTCTTCATCATCATCATCCTCATCAGCATCATGAGCTACTTCAGCTGCTAAATTGTTCAGGTGAGCAGCTATGACATCCATTTCCTGCTGTAAAAAGAAGATACACAAAAAGAAATTATATAACATTTATGCATATTAAATTAATAGACATTTTCCAAGCATCAAAGCTCCTCCACCAGCACCACCACAACCACCACCAATATCTTTCCTATATTAGAGTTAATGAATAATTTAATTTCTTGGTTAATATTTTTTTTTAAAAAGATTAATCTATAAAATGGTAAGAAATATAATAAACAGTATTTTTTATGCATTTCATTTTGTAGAATTAAGATTGTTTAATCAACTGTAATGTCCAATGAAAAATATTGAAATTGTATAGTAGAAATACAAACAGAAAATTATTTTTTGGCAGTCAAAGTTCTTTTTGCTCAAGTGTACCATTCATAGTTTAAATAAATTAAAAATATAAATATATAAATTGAATATGCTATTATTATACAATCATGTTGCATTGTTTTACAATTATCAAATTAAAATTTACATGTTAGAGTCTCATTTTAGAAATGATACTTCAGTCATTAGTGATTAAAGGGACTTCAAATTTTTTATTAAAAAACTAAAATAAATCACCTTTGTCAGTTTAATTTTTTTGTAGCAATTATTATCTGAAATAGTCTTTTAAAATAAACATTTCAGCTCCAAAAGTAACAGGATGATGTTTTAATTTTGCAATAAATATGACCACTAAGTCATTTGCAATTCATTAAATTTATATGTAATAATTTGCAAATAAATAAGGTTAATTTTACTTGTAATTAGCCAAACTCTAAATACATTTAAAACTAGCTTTATTTTTACTACTAATCCCTAATCAGCAGGAGTTGAGTGTTAAGTGATTTTTGAACTTACACGCTTACAATTTGGAAAAATTGTTTTTTGTAACCAAGTGTAGAAATATTCATGATGGAAGAAAAAAAGAGAAATGAAAAGATTAATAATTCTTGCTTGAAATAAAGTTTATTATATAAAAATAATTTTTTTTGTTTATCTTTTAATAAAATAAAAGGTACAAATATTTTATACAACAATTAGTAATCTCATTTTTCCCCTCTTTTTCAGTGTATATATGATTTTTTTTCTTTTCAGCTTTTACAACATACAAAATTCATTACCAGGGTAAAACACAGATCCTACAGTATTTATTTGATTGTTGTGTTAGGGTAACAATTATACAAACAAATCATTATAATATAGATTTGATCATTCATTACTATTACCATTCAAAACTACTGAACTTTGGTAAATAAATACAAAATACATAAATATTCTCAAAGTATTTGCAAATACTTTCAATAAAAAAAATATAACCAATTTTAACTATACAGGATTTTATAACATAGCCAAGATAGTGAAAAAAAACAACTTAACATTTTTACCAGTACATTATTTCAAGATAAGTGAATAAGTAATACAAAATGATTTTTTTTTTAATTGATACATTTGAATAAAATCTCAAATAGCATACCTCTGGTCTTTGGACTGGAACACGTTGGTTACGCTGATCATTGCTTAAAGGCGGGGCTGCTGCAAGGCCAGCATTGTTAGGAGGAGCTGGAGAAAAAAAAAAAAAAAAAAAAAGGAAAAAAAAGATATTTCTAAAATGAAGACAAAAAATTGTTTATTAAATTAATAACTGCAAAATAGGAAAATGTGAAGTACTTCAGTATACAATTGCATAGATATTCTCATAAACAGATTCTTAAAAAAATTGAATTAGTTTAAAAGACAGAGTTTCATGTTACTTTGCAAAGATATTTTAGAACTAGATGTAAGAATTGTCATCAGCTTTATTTCATATACAAGAATTTAATTTATTCTTTGATTGATTGATTTCTTTATGATGGCATTGATGATTAAATTTACTGCCAACATGCAGATTCAGAACTAGAAGCCTCCAGTTTCACCAAAACCTGCTCCCATCATCCATTCCATATCACCATTTGGCTTTGTAAGAGTTGGTTGGAGGTGAAAGAAAATCAGAGTAGAAGAAAGTGCCAATGGCATGAATTTGTTTAAGGTGGACCTCAACTTGCCAAGAAGTGATCCACACACTTAATTTCATTACCTTCCTCTGCAGCATGTATGGAAGGAGACATTAAGAATATAGGACTTATATTCAAAATAAAATATAAGTTAAATGATTATTGGTGAGAATGTGCGATAAAATCTATAATTTAGTAGGAAACCTTGGTATCAAGTAGTACATTCTATGAAACTTGAGAATTTATAACCAATTCTTAGGAAGCAACTGAAAACCAAAATTCCAATGAAATTTCTGAGAATGAGCAGAGGTAAAAACAAGTTAAAGAATTAACTACACACAGTCTACTATAAAACCAAAACAAATCCCAAGTGCCTCTAATTTCACTTGGTTTGAATTTGGAATTAAAGTTTCCTCCCCACTCTTATTATATAACAGAATGTGTCAAAGAAAAAAAAAAAAAACTGTATTTAATTGTAAATCCAGTGTTGCTAAGCTTGAAGTAGTACCAAAAGAAAATCAACCAGAAAACATTAATAAAAATAAATTAAAAAAGGCCTTTAGATGAAATGCTTACCTACTGCACGAGATGCAGGATAATGTTTACTCGGATGATCAACGGACAGAGGAGGATTGGGGGGTTGGAAAGGACCTGAAGAGCTAGCAGGTCGCAGCAGTTGTCCAGATTGAGGGCGCTGGGCTAGGTGACGTTGAGCATACTGCACAGGGGCAACCTGGTGATGTCGAACAGGTTGTTGATGTTGAATATTCTGCCTAGATTCTCGTTCTTGAATTTGCTGAAAATTGCGTTTCAATGTTGATTCACCAGGAATTTGTAAAATTGAGCTGTAAGTTAAAATAAATAAAAAAAAAAAAAAAAGAGTGGAAAAAAAAATATATTGTAAAAACCAAGCAGAAATTAACAATACATAGAAAAGATATTTTACAAGACATATCAAATTGGATAGGTTTATTTTTTCCATTTATTGGAAGAAAAAAAAATTTGAAAATGCTTCATTGTTAATACCTAGGGGCATCAAACAGCCATTTTCACTTTTCTATTTGACCATTAAACTTTCAGTTGCAGTCATAATAGCAGATTACACATTTATACATGAGGATTGTTAATCTATTTAGTACTTAAAACAGTTAAGTTGATGCAATTTAAAACACCCTTATCTTAAGTGAACTTGTAATAAAAAAGCACAGTGACTTGGCTCTTGATATGGAACTTCAAATCCTAACAACTAAATTGTTTTAGTTCTTTAATTGAGCATAAAAATATAAATAAAATCAACAGTATGTATATAAAAGTTTCATTTATGACTGATTATGAAAGTGGGGGATATTAATGCCGACTTTTGGGTTTATTAATATCAGACATTTTGGGTAAAAAACAAATCAAGTGTTCACAACACAGTTTAATTTTATCACTTTATGGGAAAACTAGCACTAACATTAACAGTTATGTTTCTGAAAATTAAATACATATGAAGAATTTTTAGAAATTCTATATAAAATTAAAACAAATCAGATTTGTTTTTTTTTTTAAATTGTATAGTCCAGACACATTTCTAGCTCTGCAAGTTTTATCAAACAAGTAGCTACATTCTTTGCAGATATTTTTTTCAAATAAGAGTTTGAATGCTAACACAATAATTCTTTTTAAAATCACTAAGAATCTGTAGACAAAATAAAGAGATTTATTTCCTTCATCACTTTCAAATGTTAAAAAAAACAAAAAAAGAAATTACTCATACTGCTGAAAAGTAAATTGACATTAAGTAATACTCAAGAATTCCATTTTGACAAAAATTTACAAAATATTAAGCTCTGAATCTAATTTGTCACAAAAGGTGTTTCTGCAAATATTTTGTAACAAGCTGTTCAAATCTTCATAATAAAAAAATTTATATTTTAACTATTAAAAAATACTCAGCATTTTAGCTACTCTTTATCAGCCTAAATGAATCTTTTTTATATTAGAAAAAACAAATTCCCTATTTTTAGTATTTTCAAATAAAACATGACAAACATCAATTCCTTGAGATGGTATTCATATGACCATCTTTATATTAAGCTTGTATTCATTATTGAAAATGAGACACTCTAGGCAAATTTGTAATTAAAAATTGAACAAACCTTGGTTCCCCTGGTAATGCGTTCTCATCTTCCTCCTCATTGTCACTTCCTTCATATTCATATTCTGTGTCATGGTCATCAACTAAAATAAAGAATTTTTTAAAAATTCTCCAGTTTATTTTTAAATGAATACAGACATTTGTGATAATTCTAATTTCTAATTGATTTAATATTTAATAAAATTAAATGCACTTTTGTCTTTATATAATATTTATAACTAGTAGCATAAAACAAAAATTTCAAAGTGAAAATTTATAATCATTTGCTTCAATAGATATTTTTTTTTTATTTCATATCCAAGTAAGTAGATAGAAGGAATTGATTCTTACACATATAAAAATATATAATATATATTTAAGTATAAAACTCGGTGCATAATATTTTTCATTATTTTTTTTTGTTTTGTAAAATATTACATAAAATATCCTCTTTAAAAGAATATAAATTTTCATAGGGAATACATAAAGTTTTTTATACAATCCAAAACATTAACATGAACCCCAAGATTCTCTTTCTTGTTTTGTGTTCATATCTAATTTAAATGAAATACATGCTATTATACAAAAGTACTTTTCTGATCAAGCCACTGAATCTGGAAATGGATTTTTAAATATACACTGATAATTTTTTTAAATAATTTTTTCTTGCAATATTTAGACTAGTTTTGCTACATGCCAATGTTCCATGAATAATAAGAATTTTCATCAGTCACTGAATACTTATTAAGATATGACTTAAAATAATTTTTAATAGATTCCCAAATGATAAAATTAAATTCATTTCATTTAAAATTACAAGATTTAAAAAATAATCACATTAAAAAAATTAATACATCAATTCTCATTATTGCAGAAATATTTAATTGTATCTATTTTGTATTAGGCCTAAAGGGAAATAACTGCAATCAGACTCACAAAAAAAGTAAAAACTAAAAATCAAAGTCACATTAATCAGATTAAAAATTTTAAATTATCATAAAATTATGACTTCATAATCATTAATGACTAAACTAAAATGAGAAATTATTTAGATTATACCCACGTTCAAAAATGTGGTTTTAAAGTATATAATACTGAAATAAAAATAGGATCGCAACTTTGCACATTGGCAAATAGGTCCATGTTTTGTTAAAGTTAAAATGGCTTGAAAAAGCAGTAAATTTACCAAACAAAATATCCATATCCACATTATTTATATAATAAATATATTAAGCAGATTACACTTTATGAATCTTAACTTATTTGGAATAGAGAGATTTTTTTTTTATTTTATAAGTTATTGATATTATTTTGTTTAACTTCATATATATAAATATTGCCATGGGTGAGTTACTCTCAAAAGTAAAGCATTTGTAAAGTTATTGAGTGACAGGAATACACTACTGGATTTTTTAAAAAAAGTGAACAGAGGTCATAAAGTAATCAAAAATGTAATCAAAAACATTTGCAAAATTAGTAAAAATAAATAAATAAAAATAAAATGATTTAATAGTCATAAAAAGGCATTTAAGAATAAAAAAGCAAGAAAAGTAGATTAACCAGCAAGAAGATATTTAAAGTAGCTGGTGTTACAAATGTGAACAGATAGAAAAAGATGCAAAACATTAAGAGCATTGGCTGAAAAAAGTAAAAACTAACTCCAAATTATCATTTTTTAAATTAAACTTCACAAAGAGGAAAATCTAAGTTGAGCAAAGTACATGAAAACTGATTTCTCAACAACAATTTTTAGTGATGATTCTAGAACATTAGATGGACCTGAAGACTGAGCTAGAGGTTGGATCCTTCATGGAAAAAGTCAACTAATATGACTTAGAAGACAGCTAAGGAAAGAATAATGTTTTGGGTAGTAAAGTTATATGCCCCATTTAGAGTTAATGATGGTATAAATCTAAAGAGATTAGTACAGGTGTTTAAGCTAAAAAGTATATTTGTATGAGAAATGTTCCTTCACATTCTGCAAAGGAAACTAGATTGCTCAGCTTGTCAAGAAAAGGTTTCAAAAACACAAAAAATTAATTCAATAAATAACTTGTAATCCTTCATTAACAGAAATATATGAAAATGAAAGACTATTCAAGCAAAGATCTCTCAGAAGCAATAGAAACTGCCTATATCAGTGTTAAAGTGAAAATAGAAAAATTGAAATAACTGAAAACCAATAATATAAAAATTTACTCAAGAATATTGTATTAAATGTTTCTATAGCTTATACTGATTGTAGTTTTTTTTTATAAATAAAAATTTGTGTTGCACTTAGCTTGTTAGCCTAATAAATATGGTAAAAAAATATTACATTTTTAATAAAAATAGACATAAGCCGAAATATGATATACTGATCATATAAGTATATGCTGAAAATTTTACTAATCTAAGTTAGTTAAGACTAATATTATTGTGTAAACACTGATTTTCATAACAGTGAATACTTATAAAATAATATGGACAAAGATATTTATATTCCAAATTTATAGAAGATACATTCGGATATCAAATCTTTCAATTCTCAATATTTCAATTATCTTTTCATTAAAACAGTTCAATCATATTGTCAGCAAACTATAACAATAACCTTTGGCAGTTAAAACTTTAAACTATGATTGGCACATTTACTTTCAATGTCACAACTTCTCATTTCATTGTTTATTTAACAGGTGGACAATCTAACTAAATTTACCTTTCTTATTTTTCCTATGGCGATCAATTTGATCTTTAAGTTGGATGCGCACTTGTCTTTCAGTTGGTTGGTCACGAATGAAGGGATGCTTCAGCAGTTGTTCTGTATTGGGTCTTTGAGTGTAGTCCTTGATCAGACAGGCATCCACAAAACTTTGAAATTTTGCAGACCTGTTTAAAAAAAATAAATAAATAGATGAATGAAAAGAATTATATTTTAAACAAATTCATCTAATTTTTTTTAAGGCAACTTAAAAATATTTTATTGTTCATACCATTTACGGGATTTGAGCCTGGGTGGTGGAGATCTTGGGATTAGAAACAATGCTCTCATTGGATGCATATCACAGAGGGCTGAAATTTAAAGTACATATCAGATAAACTATTTATTTATAATTTGCCATAAAGATATTTTGAACATTTGGTTAAATAAGCTAATAAAAAAAATTTGAAAGTATAATCTGAATGTTGATAAAAAGAATTTTTATCCACTTTCCTGTTATTTTATTCTAACAAAATATTTAAAGAATTTAAATAATTATCATTTAATTAAAATGAAAGTGAAAATTATTTTTCTAATCTTAGTAAAGATAAAATAAACCAAGATTTATTTCATAAACATAATTGTATATGCTTATTAAAATATTTGAAATGTTAACCTAAAATTATTAAACAACCTAAGATTACATGATTTATAAAAGTGCAAGCATGTTACAATAAGAAGAATAGATTTAAAAATGTAACAATTAAATTTATAATTATACATATACTTACGAGGTTTTCCTTCTGCCATTTCTATGGCAGTGATACCTAACGACCAAAGATCGCTCTGAAATAACCAAAACATTAAGATTAGTCAAGAAAAACAGATTCCCTTCTGTTCATGATACCTACAATTCTTGATCAAACTATTAAATTCTAATTCTGAATAAAAATAATTTATAAAATAAAGCTGAATTTGTATGAAAAATTTAGTCAATAATTTTATCTAAATAAAAAAATATTTTCATGCCTCAAAATATTCATAATTGTAAAAGTGACATGAAAAATGTTCATATCAATTCATTTCTGTTTGAATTTCAGAGACAAGGAATTATTATATTGTACACAGATTTATTTGACCATACGTCTTTGTTATACATTCATCTGGCAGTCATGAGTTTGATTTGCAGTGAAATTCATCAACAAGATGCTGAAAAGTTCTTGGCACCACCTACAAAATTCTGATTTTGATAAGTGGTTCAGGCTGAGAACTTCATCAATATTACACAAATATGTATATTTTTCAATGTAATCTTTGTGAATGTTTTTAATTAAATAAGAAAATATTAATCATAGATCCAAATAGATACTTGCATGCTTTCAAATTTGCATGTATTTCTTAGATTTTTTTTTTTTGATCTTTTCCACTTATTTGTAACTGACAAAATGTTTGATTCTTATTTGTATCCACCATTTCATATTTGGCTCAGCAGAATGAACATAAGCATCATCAGCAAAAATTAAACTAAGAGATATCTTCACATAGACAACAGAAAGAAAACGATTATACTATGAGAGAAAATTAAATTTTTCCTATTTCAATTTTCTATAGATAGCAAAAAACAACAGATAAGCCTGAAAAAAAAATATTTGTAGGGAGAAAGAAATAAAAAATAAGGAAAACAAAATAAAAACAAACAAAAAATAAAGAAGCAAAAGAAAAAAAACATTTTATCTATTTTCCATTTCAGAAATCTAATTTAGCTATGAAAGAATACTGTAACATTTTGCTATCAATAACATTCATAATCTTGGAGTTATAAATATAATTTCCCAAAAATAAATGATATTTGGTTATTTCTAATTTTTCAAACTGAAATGAGTAAAAGCTGTTAAATATCTTATAACCAGATTTCCCCAACAGAGAACTCACAGAATTTGGTCTAAAATATGAATTCACTTAATTCAAAAAAGTGCAAATTTAATGCTTCAAAGTCTAATTTAATGTCAATATCAAAAAACAAAATAAGTTCTTTTGAACAACATCAAAATGAGATTATTATTGAAATCAAATAAAATAGGTTTCAGCAAAATCAAGATAAAGTAAAAATAAAAAAAGTTTCTTATTAAGGAATTGAAAGCCAAGGATTTTCCAGCTATTTATCTCTTAATGATTTTGCAATGATTTATTTTAGATAAATTAAAAAGAAATTGAAATTTTATGAATTTCTTTTTAAAATAAGCAGAGCTTTCTTGATTCTAGATTGAATAACAGCAAAAAGTAAAATGAACAAAATTGAATAGCAATATCCATTTACACTATTTACATTGTTGCCATATTTATCACAAACGTTGATAAATATGCCAAGAAAGATGAGGATGGTAGTCCAAACAATGTAAATAGTGTACATAATACCTCATCTCAGAAATATAGACAAATATCCATTTATCTCACAAAAATTATATGTATGCTCACTTCTTTGTTATCAGATAAAACCAATACACCTCTCAAACTGAAAATCCACCATACAAAGTTGAGTCTACTGAACAATAAATTTGACTACCAATAATTTTGAAAGTAAATCATATTCTGACCATGATTTGATGTCAAAAAGATCAAATACATACCAAAACTACAGAATATAAACCACACATGACAGATCATGAACTGAAAGCCATTTTAAAAATAAGTTTGATAGGGTTCTTAGAAAAAAGAAATAAAATTTTACAGTATCTATTATACCAGAACAGAATCTTCTACCAGACAATGTAACAGAAGAATCAATTTTAAGAGTTTGAAGACATTAAGTAACATCTACAATCAATAATGATGCCCAAGAAGAAAAAAAACATATGTGCAGTGAAACAACATTTATTTAAAGTAAGCACTATTGTAGAATTTCAACAAAACTATGAAGCTCTTAGGTTGATGAAGAAAGAAAGAAAATTTTTGAATAATCAAATGTCAATTTTAATTCTGTATTCATTCTAAACAGACCAGAAACAAGTCGTAGTACTTTGCATAGTAGCCACATGAAATTAATATACTGACATTCATGTGAGGTTAGTAATTATGAAGGGTGATGATAATAAAACATTTACCCTATTATCATATGTGGCATCAGGATTTTCATCACAGGCAATAACTTCTGGTGCCATCCTAAAAATAGCAAAGTGAAATTGAATTCATAAAAGTACAGTCATTCTGTTTTTTTTTTGTTTTTGTTTAATTTTTAAAAATGGTTTTGGATTCAAGATCAATTTTTGCCAGTGCATGAAACATTTCAGTTGATCAGAATATATCAAGAAAAAAGAAAAAGAAAACAAAACCACTTTTGGAAGAAAGGTTAATTATTTAATATTTCATACAACTATAAATTAGTTTTAAACCAATATACAAGTTAAGATAAAATAATTTTTATACACAAACTAAATTCTCTTCTAAGCATCACTGAATTTAAAAAATTATTAAGATAAAAAAATCACAATCTACAATTACTTTAAAAAGCAAAAATGAATTATTAAAATTCTTTCCAACAATTAATTAAATCTGATCTTATTCAGAAGATTTAAATAAGTTATAAAATTATTTTGAAGCTGAAATCAAAATTATTAGTATATTTCATATGAATGATTTAAATGCTATATTCAAATGATTTCATTGTATCAAAAGTGTTTTATATAAAATTAAAAGATCTGCATTCTAGTTATTTAAAAACTTCTGACATCATAAATTCTAAAGTTAATACTTTAAACATAAAAATTTTATCTATGCAATTTTGTTAAATTTTACTACTGATACAACTCCAAACTATTTCAGGAACCTTACCAGTAAGGCGTTCCAATGAATGTGTTCCGTCTACCAATGGTTTTGTCCAGCTGGGCACTAACACCAAAATCCACTGAAGACAAAGACAGAAAAATTGTTGATCTGTTATCAATTACCAAGATATCAGGTGACTAAATATATTTTGTGAATAACATTTGAAATTCATAACTTTGACCAAGTCATTTACAATCATAAAAATTTTCAGATTAAATATTAAATTATAATACATTTTAAACAATAAAATCAGGTTTAAGATGCTCGTTCATGCCAATATCTAACACCATATCACAAATTATTTACAACTAAACAGTTCTGTATTTTGTTGAATATGCATAAAGACAGATTTCCATCATTTTGAACTATGCCACTAATAAACCAACAAACAGGGCCAACTTTGGCACAGACAAAAACTAATGTCAATAAAAAGCTATCATTTAACTTTTCTCAAAGTAGTATTTTAGTTTATAAGATAAATCTATTATTCCAATATTTCCAGGTTTATTTCATTAAAATTGTCAAGATCAAGGTTTCACAAAAAATATGAAGCAAGAAAAAGCAAAATACATTACCTAATTTTACTTCAGCATTGTCTGTAAGTAACACATTTTGGCCTTTGATATCTCTATGAATTACTTTATTAGCATGAAGATGTGATAAACCCTGAAAAGATAAATATAAGAAAATTTATAATTAGATATTTTTACTTAATGATTTGTATGAATCTCACCTTGTTTTGATTACTCAGGTTAAATTCTTTTTTTTTTTTTAAATCTCCACTTTTTAATCTAATTTACAAAGATTTATTTAGCACAGAAATTTTTTTTACCTGTTGGACCATTTATGTTACATACCCAAAATATTTCAAGAAAAATATTCTAAGAAGTTATTGCTGGTTAGTTTATCACATGACGAGGAGGTTTCAAAGTGCTAAAATGAGCTGGCATATCAACCTTTATACAATTACAATTGGTAAAAAGATTTACTTTCAGCCAATACTGGGTTACATGGTACCTGCAGCAGAGAAGAATCTTTGACCTAAATGCAAAGAGTCTGCAATTATGATATACCAGTGGAAAGATGAATTATTACATAGCTGCTGCTGCTGCTAATGTTTTCATGAAATATATCAAAACCTTCCTCTCATGACAAGAAACAAATACTAAAAGCATCCACAGAAAGTAAGCAGAGGTCCATATTACATATTAATATGTGAATAGATATAGCAAATATAAGAATTCAAAAAAATTCAGTTAATTCATAACTAGGTTCTGTTAGGAAAAAAAGAAAAAAAAAACTATATAAAGTATTTACTTCAGAGACTTACATAAAAAGTATATTTTTCTCTCCACCCCTCTTTCACAGAACAATTTTTCATAATTTATTGTTAGTGTGTTGGTATAAACACACAGTGAAGGTCATTTTCAGTTAAATGAATGAATGAAAGTCACCAAAATAACATTAGTTCAAAAATGTTAAATGCTATTATTTAACCATTGAATTTAGCAGTTTGTGGTATTTGTTTTGCTAATTTTCAACACTCAATTGTATATTATGCATTGAAAATCAGGAAGTTAGGGGTTTTCAGTGGTCAAGAATCAAGTCAAACATTAATGACAGAACTACAAGATAAGACTATCAGTTTGTTACTGACAAGTTATACAATACAAAAATGTAACGAACATGAAAATTTTATAAAATAACAACCTAAATGGTGTAATATAAAATTGAAAGATCATAAACACTTACATATTTACATTTCCTTTGAGGTTAACAAAAAATATAGACCAGTTTTTTGAGTGCTACTTTGAAATTGAAGCTTTAATTCAATTATACTACAGGCTACAAAAACAGGTTCTCTAAATTTGAAACCCCCAAAAATAGTATTCATTTTTCTATTGTTACTTGTTATTATTTTACAAAAAAAAAAAAAAAAATATAAATAAAAAAATAAAAAAGTAACTAAATACACATTATCATGTAGTACATCAAACAATATAGATCATTTAGTATACTTTCATTTAAACATCAAAAAACAAACATCCTATTGCTTATTTGACAAAACTGTAGACAAGATCTACCCTTTCAATATTAGGTTCAGAAAAGTAAGTGCTTTAGAAAGTGAGAAAGTTTTGGAATTGATAAAAAGTCCAGTTATTTTAATTGCACAAAATGAGTCAGCATCTTAATCAAAATGCATTTCAGTTGAAATGTAGAGTATTCAAATTAAATTTAAAAAAGTATTAGATAATTTTAAGTTCAGAATAATTTGTCTCAGTAAGTTATTCTGTTTTATTAGATAATAAAAATGTGTATAAACATGAAGACAATCAAGTGCACATTTATAAATTAATAACAGTAAAATAAAATAACTGACAAAGAAAAAATTAAATATACTCACTCTTAATATTTCTCTACATATATATGCTATCCATTCTTCTTTTAAAGTATTTCCCTTAGTGGCTACAATTGAAAGATCAAAATTAATTATAAGCAATTATAGACAAATGATATATGGCACACAGACCTATAGAAATAACATGTGAAAATATTTCATTCACAATCCAAATATTTAAATAAAAGGAAAATCAGAGCTTCTAAATATCAGTAGGAATAAATAATGTATTAAGTGGAAAAATTTATATTACCATTAAAATTTTCTTATTCTCAAGTGAACTAATACATAAGACATTAAATACAGTTGGGAGTTGAAAAAAATGCTTGAAGTATTTTGGGAATCTATGAATAACCACTCAAAAACATTGATTCATTGGTAAGAACAAAAAAAAGAAATTTAGTTTAGTTGCCAAGATAACATGGCCAAAAACAGTGAAATCATTTGACAAGGTTTACACACTTTCAAATTCTAATGAAGACATTCTTTAAAATGAACTAAAGTCAGTACACATCATCACATTTATAGTTTTCAAAGTTATAAATAAATTTGAGTCTAAAAATGATATAAATTACCTTTGACCATCTGGATTTTAAAAACAGAAAGAATCAAGTAAAAAGTTACTCAAAAGTTACATTTTTAGAGTTGATATAAAGAAATGTAATGCTGACGTATGAATTACTTTACCTTTAACTAAATCTGTTACTGATCCAGCACCACAGAATTCCATAACCAGCTGAAATGAGTAAGCATTAAATATAAGAATATAATTGGTATCAAAGAGCTTGTAAAATAGTAATACTTTTTATTAATTATATTAGACATCCACCAAATGACATGAACTGCAATTTGTAGCAATGCAAAATATTTTGGGTATTTTTTCTTTCTACCAATTCTAAAATCAAAATAACTTGGGTTTTTAAATATAGTTTATTTTTTTTTTAGATTCACTAGATTCATCAATATCGAAATATTTCTATAAGGTAAATATTACTTGTAAATATTAATAAATATAAATGCAGACAGCATTAACTTTTGACAGTTTTTTTTGTGATTTTACAAGGTACTTTCAACAATATATAGAAAAATACCTTGCTATGCAATTTGAAATTTTTAAAACTTTAGAATTTTCTATTATCATAAACTCACCCCTTTTCATATAAAGCAACAAAACATTTTATAACTACCCAAAATGAATAAGAAACATGGAATTTAATTCAAATAAAGAAAATATTTAAAATTTTATTTTTATTACAGTAAAATTGCAAATCTCCTATACAATCTTTATTTTAAACAATTGCTTTTATGAAGATTATAAAGTTCAAACAAAAAGTACCTAAATACTTTCAGCATTAAAATGTAATTAATAATTTTAAAAATGTGTACTATTGGTTAATCAGATATTTGTTTCTATCTGCCTGTAACAAAACACAATATCATATGAAGCTTTATCAAAAAAATCATAAAACAAAGTATATTAAAAGCAAAAATTATCTATGGATTTTTCCAGTATGGTTAGAAATTACATGTAATACTGTTTTATGAGCATTATGAAGAAGTTAATAAGCTAATTGAAAGATCAGCACTTTTGCAATGGATTTAAAAGAAAACAAAGAAAAAGAAAAAAAACAATGTATATTAACCATGTTTAATAAACCTCACAAAAAGTGCATACAACCTGCTGTCATTTACCACATTACTTTTACTGTAATATAATTTATAATTATATAATACAAGTTAACCACAACCTTCTTTTTTTTATAGCAACTTAATTATTGACAAGAAAGTAAAAATGGCCAAACCTACAGGGCATTTTTTTTGTACCAAAATTGAAAATACTAACAAAATTTCTCAAATTGTCAAATTAACAACTTTTATTAAATCAGAATATTTAGAGAAAAGAAGAAACTGCTAGAACATTAGTAGGTAGAGAAAAGGAAATTATCCTCCCCACATTTTTTCCAATTTACTGAAGTTTGTTTTTTTTTGCAATCCGAGATATTTATCAACTAAAATATAACCAAAGCTTGGGACATATCACCAAGAGAGATGTAAAGACAATTGTTAACTTATCGATAAAAATACCCCCTCCAACTTCTCCTTTGCACTGCTATTTATGTTTTTGGGTTCCTTAGTAATTCAAGTCCATGAACTGACATAGAATTGTTTTGTTTTTTTTTTATGAATCAATAAGCTTATATTCAAAACTTCAAGCAATATTATTATTGTAGTGGAGGTTACAATATTACCCCAAAATAAGTACTCTACAACTAAGTTTTTTCATAAAATGTCAATTTTCTTCTAAACCAAATAAACCATGCTTTTTAAAGAAGTTTCATATTTATTACATGATTAATGTAACATCCATCAAAACTGACTTGATTATTTACAGTTGGACTAATGTCTTAATCTTTGTTGATACAACAAAGATGAGGACATTATTAGTTGGATTCATGTAAATAACACCTCATTCCAGAAATTCAGATAGAAATTACATATGGATCAGCACTACTGTCTAGAATCAGAATATCTATAGTTTACTTCAGATTAAAGTGTCACTTCCTGACCATTAGCATATGGCTATATGTAGTATCTGTGCATTCTGTGAAAAGGCTAAGAAAAAGTTTTATATTTCACAAACATTGCATTTTATATGTAGATATTTTCTATAATATAGCCATACATAAATAATAAAACAATAATAATTTATAATAATAAATTTATCTGTACCAACAAAACAACAATGTTAATATTTAGCAATTGCATTATAAACTAAAAACTATCTTGCTCTGTATCTTCTTGTCTATATTCAATACTTTCTGAATGAAAACTTAAATAATGTTCCATTCACTATTAGAATAATTAAAATTTTATTTAACACAAGTTGCAACAAACAGCTTGCCTATGAGTTCAAGATTGCAGCATTTTATCGACAAGTTTAGAACACAGGAGTATTACTTGACTTTCAAAACTCTTTCAAATTACTACTTGAGCAAACAAATGAAAGAACAAGAAATTAAAGAGAGAGAAGGGAGAAAACTGAAATACAGAAACTTACAGTGAGAGAGAAAAAATAGGAAGAGCAAAAGATTGAAAATAAAAATGCATTAGTATACATAGTTATTACCTGTAGAGAAAAAAAATTATGATACATTTGAATTTCTGAGATACAAAAAAAAAAATGTTAAATATTCTCTTTAACAAAAGAAAAAAATATATATTAGCAACCTGGTTATATTGTAATGGTAACCAAAGGCAACAGAATATATCATTACTAAGTAGGGATATCTGCTGAACTCATTTTCTACCCATATGCAGGTAGTTTGATAAAAAGAGTTGTAAGACAAGGATATATTTTCTCACTGGAAAAGCAATTCTGGGATAATTAGATGTCATACCAGGATTCATTATTGGCAGCCACAATATTAACAACAGAAGCTATGCAAATGACAGTGTTGATAGTAGATACAAAATGAAAACTACAAAAGCTCCTACAGAAGTTAGTGAAGGAAAACAAGAAGAAAGGATTAAATATAAACTGCAAGAAGACAGAATTCATGGTTGTGAGCTAAAGGATGAGCCCAAAATGCAAATTACAAATTGAAGATACCAAAATTAAACAAATACAAAAATTTAAATATCTAGAAAGTGTTCTAACAGAAAGTGCAACTGAAATCTGGAGACATATTGGGAGAGACAAAGATGCATTCCAAAAGCTAAGCAGAGTATTAAGAGACAGAAAAAAAACATTGTTAAAAAACAAAGAATTGAATACTGAACAGTTATGTGATATCTGTCCTCCTGTATGGCAGCAAATGCTGGAAAATCTCAAAGATGAGGAAGAGACTTGACACCACAGAAATGTGGTTCTACAGAAGTATGCTGAGGATAACATGGACAAAACGTGTGCAATGACAAAAAGGAAACTTATACTTAACATCAGAAAGAGAGAGTTGAAATTTCTGGGAAACATAATGAAGAAGACTTGGAAAATCTGATACTCACAGGATAGATTAAGGGCAAAAGGGACAGTGGAGAACAGTGCATAACATACTTGATGAAATTTAAATAAATGGAACAGGGTTTAGGAGAAATAACAAAAAACAATTAAGAGCTACAAAGGACAGGAAGTTGTGGAGAGTCATGATCACCTATGACCTGAGAAGACACAGCACATGAAGAAGTAGGGATATCAGGTTGTATGACTAATAAATGTATTAAGTCACATTGCATTTTATATCATCAACTAGATAAATGGCACACAAAAAAAACAAAAAAAAAAAAACAAAAAAAAACAAACAAACAAACGCACTATGGAAATGAAAAACTTGCAAAGAAAAAAAGCTAAATGTGTAGTACTAAAATAATTTCTTTTTACCCAGAGCTGGTCATCTTTTCCTGGAGGACTCTTCTTGATGAAAGCACCATAGTAAGTAGCAATATTTCTGTGGTGGGAATACTGAAATAGAGTATGGTAACAATCAATATATTTGTACTGATGGTGATAAACTAGAAAAATACAAAAACTTATTAGATTTTTTTTCTCCTTTCAAACTTATTATGCTTCTCCTCAAGATGAATTCATTATCTGAAATTTATTTTCACAAGGTATTAAGTCGTGACTTGAAGCTCTTTTCACTATTATAATTCCACATTTCTTCAAATATAAGGTTTACATTAATTTGTCTCATGTTTTTCCTTTAATTTTTTTTTTTTTTTTTTTACACAAATGCAAAGAAAAATGTAAATAAAAATTTCTTAAATATTGTTCTTGTTTTTTTTTTATTTAATATTTATTTTATATTTCAGTTAAACTACAAGAGAGCAGTGCTACATTTTATCAACATGTTTACATAAATAAGCTTATTGCTATTTACTGAATTTAGTTTAGTCTGACATAATGCTAGATGAAAGTAATGGGAGTAAAAAAAAAAAAAATTGTGAGTATCATTTAAGTAAAGAGACCTTGCTTTGGAAATTAGCTTTTAAATACTGGCTTTTACTTGAATGTTGCAAAGTAGATATATAAATTATAAGGCAAATCCTAAAATGAGCTTATTTATTTTCTCAATTTAAACAAAAATTTGTGAAATCATCAAGAGTTCAGACCTCTATTTTGAAAATTAATGCTTTTAACAAATTATACTTATATGTAAGTCAATATCCAATTTCTTAAAAAAAAAAAAAATATATATATATATATATAAAAAAATAAATAAAAGGCAATAATTTAAAATAAAAAAAAAAAAAAAAAAAACAACACCATAAAATTAAATTTTTCATATTTCAAACCAACAAAGAAAAAATTAAAACCCTGAAAAGTTAACACAGCAAAATTTGTCAATTCTAGAGAACATAAATTTAATGAAACAAGAATGATTCATATATGACAATATTTTAAATTATGAGGGTGTGTTGAAAGCCCCTAAGAAAAAAAAATTGGATGTTTGGCCAGATTTTGGAAAGTGGATCAAGAAGAGAACTTTCAGCACCCACCCATAAAAAAAAATTTTTTAAAATTGATTTACTGGATTAATTCAAATGAAGCTCCCTTTATGGTTGAAAACAATTTGTAAGTTTATTATATTCCACCATTAATTTTTTTTTTTTTTTAAAGTGTTAATTTTCATGTAATAATCTTAAAATACACTTCATTATAGAATCTTTCAAACATAATGAAATGCTAATAATGTGGAACTATTTTATGAAAATATTGGTTCAAGTTAAAATAAAAAGTTAGATAAAAATGAACTAAACATTTTTAAAATTTACAATCAGTAATTTGAAACCATGTGAAAAACAAAAAAGAAAATGGTTTATGAAAGTTCAATTGCCTCTCGCCTTTAGTTTTGTCAGTCATTAACAGAAATAATTTCTCAAGAGATGTTCCCAAAATTTAATAGCTTTGTATCAGGTTTGCCTTTTATGAGTAACCAGGAATGCTATTTACATGAATTAATCTGAATTGTAAGTTTCCATATTTCTACTTTTAATTCTTTTGTTTTCTACCACCCCCAGAAAAATAGAGAGACATATGAAAGACTTGTTTGTAGAGAACAATACTAAATAAAATTTTTAAATTACAAATATTAAGAAATAAATTAATTAGTGTAATTTATAATTCTATTTCATTTTTAAGCTTTGATATAAAATTTTAACTCAAATATATCAATTTAAAGTTTCCTGAAAGTCAGGATTTTAAGGTCAGCCAAAAATATATTTAAGTTTTCAAGTCAGAATTTGTAACGTGTTTTGTAAAAACATTAAAAAGATTTACCTAAAAATAATGTGCAAAATATCTGTACGTTTGTGATTAGTTTTTGGTGTAAATACCATATATACTTGCATATCATGCAACTTTTGAATACCTAATTTTGAAGCTAATTTTAAGGTGGTTGAATTATACACAAGATATAAAATTAGCCTATGTACTGCTGGCCCTGGCTATGCCATTGAGAAAACTATATATCCATTTACTGTACTCAGATTAGCTTAAAAATTATGTCTTCAAAGGTTGCATGATACATGAGTATATATGGTAGATCCATTTTTTGATAACCATTTAGGTAATTGTAACATTAAGCATTTCCTTATAAGCAAACATTCCACATTCATTGACCAAGCAACCCGTGCTGCTCTTGGTTGAAATTTATAAAATCTTTTAAAACAATTTTTTAGCAAAATAGGTTTCTCAAGTTCGCTGTTATCAGTCTTTCCTATATAGATTATTCTACCTTCCTAACCTTTTGTTTGAAGTAGTGCAGAATGTCAACATCTTGATTGTCATTATTTTTTCTTTGAACTGCATGCACTATCCATTTTAGCTGTTGCTGTATGTCCTCAAGTGTTGGGGGGGGGTCTATTATTTGGTAAAGTTTTTTTTATTATTATTATTATTATTCTGTAACACCAGTCCTCAAGGTTTAAAAAGTACAGTCATCACTAAAATGTACAAAGTTATTTTTAACAATTAATCTGAGAAAGCAGTTGTACACAGCTAATGGTTTAGATATTTTTGAATGAGTTTAGTGCTATGAATGACAACTATAATGAGTTTCAATCTTACAAAAACATGGTGCATTTTTAAGTTAATGCTTTGGTTTTGTTGCAACTTGATTTCACATCCTGAATATTTATGATGATTCTGATTGCTTTTATTCGAACTCCAGATTATAGTTTCCATTTTAGAAAGGTTTATCTCAAGTTCTATTTCTTGAAATACTTGGTAGAGGATGTTTTAAGACTATCAATTAAGCAGATCCTACCCTATGTAGACAATTTCAATCTACATTCTTTTACATGCCATGTCCCTTCAGAATATGGGCAATCATGGCTTTTCACAACTTTTTGTAGATCTAAGCAAGGTTTTTCTCCTTACTAGCCCTCTCAATGCCTGTTCTGCCATCTATTTACACAAAATATTTAAGTATGTTACTTGCTGTTTACTTTGGTCTTTCTTGCCCTCAATATGTCCTGTCTGTATTAAATTCTCCATGCCCTTTTTTCTCCCAAGTCCCAGAAGTTTCCACTAAGTAAACATGTCCTTTTTGCTCTCATTTTCCTTAAAACTTCATTGCTCATATGTTTGGCCCATGGTATTCTCAGCATCTTTCTGTAGCATCACATATCTGCTGTCTCAAGTCTCCTCTTCAACTGTGAGGAAATTTGGCATTCACTGGTTTACAGAAGAAATGATATTACATAGCATTTCAGCAGTCTTATTTGCTTAACATTAAGAAGGAACCTTTCACTATTCCAATGCACCTTTAGAGTTTTATGCCACATCTTCCATCTGTTATAACACTTCCCATAGTTAAATGTGCTCGATTTTGAGGTCTTTCATCTTGGGCTGTTCCTCTTGCTAACATCCATAAATTCTGTTACTTTACAATTGATGGTTAGTCCTTTTTTTTTTTTCCTCACTTTTCTTTACTACCTCGTCTAGGTTTTCCTGTAGATTTCTTTCTGTGTCTACCATCAAGAGCATCATCTATGTATTTTATATTTTTAAGACTGTGTACACCAATAATAAAACTTGGTAGGATTTCTCATTCTCTTAGGATAGCCACCATGTATAGGTTAAATAAATCTAGTGAGAAAATGCATGACAATTTGTCTTATGCCTTTTCCTATTTTTGATTACTTTCTCAATTCATTTTCTATCTATATCACATGACAATACAACATTTTTAATTTAAATTCTATTATATTTATTCTAAAAGCAACTAATTTAAAAAATTTTAAAAATTCTAATTTCTCATCAATAGTGGTAGGTTTTTAATCAAAGGAGAATACACACACCCAAAAACTTATGCATTTCTTTTTTAAATGTGAATCAAACCCAAATGAAAAAATATTATTCATCATTAAATGAGAAAAATATGTGGATTTAATTGTAAATTTCATAAAAATAGCATGAAAATTATATTTTTCTCTGTAAAATTTTGGTTAAAAATCTTGAATTAACATCCAACATTTGATTTATTTTCTGTTTATCATAAATCAAATTTAAAACTCAAAGGAGAATCTAAAAACATTTAGTCATGACATGAAGTAGGTCATTGTAAACGAAAAAATTTTTTGATAGACTTTAAAAAAATTTTGGCATTATAAATAGTTATAATGCACTATTCATTAGGGAGAATTGACACAAAGGACAATTCTTTAAAAAAATAAAAATTACTCTGAGCATGAAAATTAATAACATTTTTTGTAAAATTATTTTAAGTGATTTAACTGAAATGTTTAAATGAAAAAAAAAAAGTTGTAATTTTTATAAAAATTATAAAATTTAATTTGTTTTTGTATTTAATTTTTAAAACTTATATATTTTAGCTTTAATGCATAGAGATGCTAATGTCAGAGTGAACACATGCATTTTTTCATTACTAAACAAAAAAAAAGCAAGGTCATATTTTAAAAGAGAAGTCTTAATTATTTTAATTATTCATTTATGTTTTTCTTTACAGTATTTACATTAGTCGGACTATTGTCCTTATCTTTGTCGCCATATTTGTCACAACATTTCGGCCGTTGTACACTCTGGCCTTCTTCAGGTGGTTGGAATTTCGAACTGAACCCTTTATTTCGATCACTGGGGTAGACTGTTCCACGTGCCATGTTTGATGGATGTCAGTTATCAGTTATCTCCTGCTAATTTTTCCTCTGAAAGTTCTCCACTGCTTTAACTGGGTATTGAACTCACATTCTTTGGGTCTGTCACTGGATCTAACCAACGCCTTTATCCACTGTGCCATGTGTCCTTGAATTCCAACCACCTGAAGAAGGCCGGAGCGTACAACGGCCAAAACGTTGTGACAAATATGGCAACAAAGATGAGGACAATAGTCAGACTAATGTAAATACTGTACATAATACCTCATCTCAGAAATATAGACAGACTATGTTTTTCTTTATATTATAGTTTTTGTTATATTATTATGCATTTATAATCTTTACTTATTAAAATACATATTTGTTTTATTTTTAAGTTGAGGTATAAATCAATTGTTTGATTTCTTTTTTTTTTTAACTTTATTAAAAATGCCTATTATCACTAAGAATTATTATATTATGAACATTTAATGCATTGTATTTGTTAAATTACTTATACATTGGCATGATTAATTCTACTCTATAATATTGAAGCATAACATTCTCTTTTTATGAAAGAGGACATAATTTTTGAATTTGTAGGAAAAGTAATTTGAGTCACGTTTGTTTTGTCTATCTTTGACTATTTATTTCTTTCCCTATCATTTATCATTCAAACATTTTTAATAACATTTGCCAATAATTTTATTCTTTTATTTGTTTCTTATTTACTGATTGTAGTAACAACATTTTTCATGGACAAGAAGGATGCATTTTCAAATTTGTAAGAAAAGTGTTTTGAGTTATAAAGTTATTTTGTCTTTTTTTTTTGTTTTTTACTATTGGTTCATATCAGAATAATTAATTTTGTCTATTATTTATCATTCAAATATCTTTAACAATAATAAAAATGTTTTCATATATTTGATGATAATTTTATACATTTATTATTTTCTTATTCATTATTTGGTATCTAAAGTAATAATAATAATAATAATAATAATATGGTATATTTGATGACAAACTGTTTATTCAAACATCCAGTGAAAAATACATATGTGTGCATTCCTCTGATAATCACTCTTTATTGTGGTGGAACAAGCAGATGATGATTACAACAATCTCAATGGTTGAACCACAGATGAAAGGGCTACATATGCCGGACATGCTACAGAAGGCACCACTCAAAATTATAACAGAGTGGATGGCAGCTCTCATTCATTCCATATGTGCCACAGAGGAAGGTCGTGATATCAAGTGTGTAGGTCACTTCTTGGCAACTTCAGGTCCACCTTAAACAAATTCATGCCATCAACATTTTCTTCTACTCTGATTTTTTTTTCATCCCCAAACAACTCTTGCAAAGCCAAACAGCAATAGGCAATGGTTGACAGGAGTAGGTTTTGGTGAAACTGGAAGCTTCTTGTCCTGAATTTTCATGTTGGTGGCAAATTTAGTCATCAACCACATCATCATAAATGAAACAATCAGCAAAGAAATTAAATTCTTGTATATGAGATATACAAAAACAACTTTAGTTTTTTTCTTTATTTATTTATTTTCTAAACATTTTAATTTGGACAATTTTAAATTTTTCACTTGTAGGACGATGGTGAAGTTAGTCTGAGCCCTCCTCTGTATACAGGCATTTTGTTACCAATAAATGTTTCAGATTCCAATATCTTTCCTAAATAAATCAACATTTCTTAGAAGTTTGAATGGATCTTGAGGGCTGTACCTAACACATTTGTGTAGTCCAGGAGGTATACATAGGTATAGGTGCTTTTCTGTATTTGCATTGCTCACTGAAAGAATTTCTTGTTCCAGTGGCCATAACAAAGAAATATTGTTCTTGCCCCCTTTTTCTGGTCTAATTCTGCTACAAACTCTATTTATCTGAATAAGCATTAAGTTGATGGAGCTCACATTCATTTGCACCTGGTTTCTCAGACAGCACTATGAAGATAGATCTAAAGTTTTTCAGTATATCAACACTGTTTTAAATTTCATTTTCATTTATTATTTCTGTAAATATGTCAATGCAGAAATCATATAAAACTGATAGCATCTCTATTACAATCCAATCTGCTCCTGCTAGTTTGTTACTGTTTATCTTGGTCTTACCACAAACTTTAATATTTTAGATCCTTTCAGGTTTTTGTGTATTATAGGTTTCCCTCTTTCATGATGAAAGAGTTCACACATGTATTTTTTCTAACTTTGAAGTATTTTTTCCCTATTATGAGCATTTCCTTTTTAGATTTTATGCATCCTATCAAGGAGCATGTCTTTGCTGTTAATTCTTTTATTCAAGTCTACCATATCTTCGTTGTTCAGTGTTTCTATCTTTGCACACTTTTCACTGAGCCATTCATCTTTTGAAGTATCATAGATTAATACTAGGTACTCCACTTTTTTGCTAAAAGACACATGATGAAAAAAAGGCGCCAAACTTAATAGAAACAAAGTTTTATCATCAAAATGTTTATGTTATTATTAAAAGGAATAACCAAAGTATTTTTTATATTTTAAAAAAAATTTATTCCTTTTTAACACATTCAAAATTTTGGTTAAAAAATCTTTTTTATGCATGGTGTAACAGAGCTATAGAAATTTTAGCACCTTTTTTCCTGGTAAAATAACACATTGATTTGGAAATTTTTGCAAAAATCAAATAACTGTTGGAATTTAATTAAACTTTCAGGACTTATTCACAAATGAATGAACTTATTTTGGAAATTATTTTTAGAAAATCTAGGTAAAAAAAATTTTTTTTTTCATCTGTTACCAATCACTCACTTAATTTCATGAAATTTCTAGAAATTAAATGGCATCCTCCAAATTTGTTTTATTAGTTAAATTGGAAAGCTTAATACAAATCATCATGCACTAAAATTTAAAAAAAAAATTTTTTGTGTGTGTATAAAAGTGCCCATTTTAAAAGTATGGATGACTATACACAACATTAGCAAAAATAAGATCAATCATGATAGTAAATTTAAAGTCAGCATTCCTAAAATTAGATAACGGAGAATATTTAACATTTTCAAGATTACTGATTACTTAAAAATTATATAAAAATGTGTTCACCTGTCATTTTCTTAAATTATGTTTTAACAGATAAAGTCTCTGTAAAACAACAATAAAACTGTCAACACCTTATCAGTGCTTGCTAAGTGATTGACGGACAATAAGAAGCACGTATATCACTGCTACTGTTTCTTTTAAAAATCCATTTGTTATTTCTAACTTAAAGTAAATAACATTTGTTTCAAATCAGATTAATTATACTGTAAATCAGCTAATATTCCTCGAATAAAGTTTCTGAAAAGTATATTTTATTTTTGGAAGATTTTTTTTAATACATAGAATTACACTTATTTTCATAAATGAAAAAGCTTTCTTGAAGCTTTCATTTTAGCTTTAATTGAAAGCTAAAGTATTAAATTTCAATTAAAGCTAAAATGAAAGCTTCAAGAAAGCTTTTTCATTTATAAAAATGAATTTTAAACCTTAGGTATACCAAATCAGAGGAGGTACCTAATTAATACTATAATATAAAATATGGCCTGGCATCATGGATAATAAATTAGTTCAAAATAAACTGCAAATATCAAACAGAAAATATTTCTTTTAACAATTTGTCTTTTTAATTTGCAAAACAAATTAAAACTTGATATTCATTTTTTAAGATTTTTGTAGATAGGAGATTAAAACAAAAAAATAAAAATAGCAAAACATGATATTACACAAATTGATATCTCAGTGATGGTGAGGACATATCTTACTAATCACCTGGAAATATTACACCTTTCTTCAGAGTTTCCCTATTCTGCCATCTTAAAAATACCAATTTTTAAAAGGAAACGTTTCTCATATAGGATAGAACGTTTTTGCCAATTTCATATCCTTCCTTCCAATATTTCCATGGATTTACATTCTACTCACATGTATCAAAGTGTCTTGTAGTTTACAAAATCCAATTAGATATATATACTCCACTTATGTATTATTTAAATTATAAATTAAAAAAAATTAACCAGTTCTAAATTAAAACCTTGTGATGTTTATAATAAAACTCTAGTGTGTTAAGAATTTCAAATTTAAAAGATAGAATTAGTGTTTGCTCAGAACGAGTATAAATATGGGACCTGATAAGTTCAGATTTATCAGACACCTGGCCCTGATGAACATTCTAGAGTCAGCTAACCAGAGGTCACTTGAACTTCTCTTAATTTATTGAATATTGTTTTAAATGAATATCAAGAACTTACCTTTTTTAAAACATTAATTTCCAGTTTAATTTCATCTTCTTCATCCTATTAAAATAAAAATTAAAATAAAAACATTAGATTTACAAAAATAAATATTGGCAAATTTGGTTTCAACTTAAAAAATTTTAACATCCATAGCAAATCAACAATCCATGTATAAATAACATGAATGAGAACAACATAGCTTTTAGAATAAATTTAATTCCATCAAAAATAAATTTTCAAAAGTCTCTTCAGGTTATTTCAGTATCTGTTTTATGCATTTTTTTGTATTGAATTTTTTTTGCACTTTCATACAATAAACAAGAGAGAAAATGAGATAAAAAAATAAAATGGTTAAGTGTTGGGGATTAAATTTTGACAAATGTTCTAACATTATCATGTAAAAATCATTCATGAAAATGATAAGCTTATGACACTTAAATAAGTTTCTTAAATTAAGAAGAATTAGCTTTTAGATAAAAGCTAATCAGGTCTATATGTAATTCTTTTTTTTCTCTTTACAAAAAAAAAAAAAAAAAAAAAAAAACAACAACAACTAGCTATCAGTTTCTGGGCTTTAGTGGAACTAACAAATAAACAGAAAAATTGATCTATCAGATACATGATTAGATCCATGCATCTAAGCATACTACTTAAGATTATATTTGCTATAATCTCACAAAATAAAAAATTAATGCACCAGTCATCTTTCTCACTCTTACCATCCATATTTTCTGCCCACTGTCTGTTTATTTTTCATAAAAATGTTCAATGAAATATATTATGGCAATATTATATTTTTTTTTCTTCTGACATGGCATTCTGACAAAACACCAGCCAAATCCTTGTAGCCTGATAAGTCATTTACCATCCACAAAAACTCCAAATACCTCTGTCTTCAATTTCAATCTATCAATAAAATGTCCCCATTATTCTATATATCTACTTTCATATGCAGCAGGACAGGGGCCATTAGGTACATTACCTCAACCAAAACAGTCAAGATTACATGCAGCCATACACATTAAGAGAACAAATATTCAAATATAAAAGAATATAGCACACCTAATTTTCTAAGTACAAATCAAAAGAGAAAAAAAATGAATAAATTCAATATCCCTGGTAGTTTCATTAACACTTTAGATGGCAAACTGCCCAGCACAAAACAAAGCATGTTTAAAACTCTTGAATTGACAGTTTTCATAACCTATAATCTTATTACTTTTCAAATATCATTCTAATTGACAAATGTCTAAAAAGGTAAAAGTAGTCAATTATCTTCAAATTTTTCATTAACTTGATAATTTCTTTGGAATTACAAAAGTTAGGATAGATTTTAGATAGCTGAGGAAGATTTGTCAATTTCCTAAAATTTAGAAAACAAATTGAATTGCATCAATAATTTTGAGAATGTGAGATTTAATTTCATATTAAATTCAATATAAAAATTCTGTCCCTTTAAAAATAAATCTATAACCTATCATAAAATATAAGAACTTATTAGGTTGGTCTTAGTAGAATTTAATGTGCATTTTCATTTTTTTTTTTCTCTCATTAGACTCAAGTTTTTTGATAAGCAACAAACTTCGTAATTTTCAAAATTTCAAATAGAAACACAAGCAAACAAAGGTTTCATAATATTAACTACCTCCAAAGATTCAATAAAAAAAGAAAAAAAAAAAAAAAATCAATCTTTACTATTAAGAGAAAAGAGCAAAGGACTATATATTATTTTTTTTAACCCTTTTTAGAACCTTCAAAATTTTGCAAAAGTTTTTTTTTTTTATTGGTAATTTTCTAACATTTCATCAACAAGCATCTTCATAAGAACATGAAACCAAAGTACCTAAAATTCAATAAAATATTAAAATGTTTAAAATATTTAAAATTTTTAAGATTATTGGGTAGTTAAAAAAATAATTTCCCCTCTTACCTAAATCTCACAATTGCCAGGTTATCAATAAATGTATCAACACCACATAATAACACCATTAAAAAAATGCGTTTTTTTTTTTTTTTTTTGCAATATTTTAAACTGAAAGTAAATAAGTTTTCATTCAGATTAATTAAACTTTAAATCAGTTATGTTCCTCAAATAAAGTTTCGGAAAAGTATATTTTATTTTTGAAAGAATTTAATAAAGAGACAGATTTGACAATATGGCAGATTTTAGCAATTTAAAATAAAATAATTCCAATCAATTTAAATTTGCTTTGAAATACAGCAAAAGCTTATTATAAATGTTAAATTTAATCTATTAGCTTGAAATTAAAACTAAAAATAGCTTCAAGGAAGATTTTTCAAATGCATTTTAAACCTTAAGTATCTTTTTTTTTTTCTTTTTTTGGGGGAGGTGGGTGGGTAGGTACCTACCTAACACTATGAAAATAATTTCTAAAATTACTCCAAGTCATGTGATTGAGTACACAAAATTTTAATGCATAAAAAATTATCTCATCAAAATATCTTTCTTCAGCTCAATTCTTAGACCCATAAGGTACATGAAAGAAATCTATTGTATGTTGTCCTGAGAGTTGAAACTTAGAAAGTGGAGTTAATAATCTAACATGTTAATTTTTTTCTAAAATGCTCTCAGAAAAGTTTCTTCCAAAATTATCTATCTAGGTACATATACTATTTTTTTTTTTTTGCTAAAAAACAGTATAGCATAATGAAAAAGGCACCAAACTTAATAAAAACAAAGTTTTATTGTCAAAATGTTTATGTTACTATTAAGAGGAAAGACCAAAGTATTTTTTAATTATTTAAATAAAAAAAAAAAATTTTTTTTTTTAACTCCTTTCTAACACATTCCAAATTTTAATTAAAAGTCTTGCTTTATTATGTGTCAACAGTGTAACTGAGATAACTGGAAATTTTAATGCCTTTTCCAGAAAATCTGCTCCGAATACCAAAATAAAAACCACAATTAAAGTATCTAATTAGATAAGCTTTTAATTCTTTTTATAAGTAAAATATATCAAGGACATTATAGTCTGAAGAAAAAAAATTTTTTCAATGAATAATGAATTTTTACAAGAATTGTTTTCTTTTTTTTTCTTTAATAATAATTTATAAAGTTTCAAAAATCTTTTAAAAATTCAAAACTCTGTCTTTGTTAGATTAAGTTATTAAGTGAAGATTATATTTACGAAGTGAAAATTGAAAAGCTTAATACAAATTATCATGCACTAAATTTAAAAACAAAAATTTTTTTCATGTGTAGGTGTTCATTTTGAAAGTATAGGTGATCATGCACAAGATTATCAGAAAGAAAAAAAATGTCTTCACTCATCATTTTCTTAAATTATGTTTTAACAGATAAAGTCTCCACGGAACAAGGAAACTGCCAACACCTTCAGAAGCACTTGTTAAGTGATTTACGAACATTGACAAGTACCACTACTGTTTGTTTTAAAAATCCATTTCTGTTATTTTCAACTTAAAGTAAATAATATTTATTTCAAATCAGATTAATTATACTTTTAAATCAGCTAATATTCCTCAAATGTTTCCAAAAAGTATATTTTATTCTTGGAAAATTTTTTTTAAATACATAGAATCACACTGTGATGAATGTCTTAAAAAAAAAAAAAAAAAAAAAAAAGAAGGTGAAGCGCTCATCAGCTATTTTGCAGGACACACACACACAGATTCCAATCAATATAATTTAATTTTGAAATACAAAGTATTTTTTAAGAAAATTACATTGTAATGACAAAATTTTTTAAAAAAATTAAAATAAAAAATATATCTAATCAGCTAGTTTAGCCACAAAAAAAAAAAAAAAAAAGTGAATCTAACTCCAATATAGTTTCTGTCTTGAAGTATACTACAGTGTATTTTGCTTACTGGAAATAGTAAATTTAATCAATTAGCTTTCAATTAAAGCTAAAATGAAAGCTTGAAGAAAGTTTAATTTTTAAAAATAATTTTAAACCTTAGGTATTGCAAATTAGTGGATGTACCTATTCTAAACCAATGAATATTATTGTTAGTGTGGAATCTGATGATATATATTACCACTTGAAGATGGGGAAATGATCATAACATAAGTCAATGTGTGGTCAAAAATCTGCATTATGTTTGAAAACTCAATCCTTTTTACACTTTTTTGCCAGTACAGTTAACACCCAATTAAAAACAAGTATACCCAGATTTTATTAAATGCGCTTAAAATTTTGCAAGTCTTAATTTTCTCTAATCTCTAGCTTTTTAGTAATAAGATATTAAATATATTAACTGAGAGTGAACATTAGTAACTGTTCTTTTTTCACTGTTTTTCTTTCTGAAAAGAAACACACCTAATAAAGAAATATGATACAAACACAAAGTCTGCCATTGATAGACTTGAGCACTCGCCAAACTGATAGAGTGAAGGATGGTAAAATTTAACAGGTATGCAATATGTAATACTGATGTTGAGAACACTTTCTGGTAGCATGTAGCTTGATCAACTGATACTGCTGCTTATGGACTAGGCACGCATACAAGTTCAAAATAAGTTTCCTAAAGATAATGATACACTTGACTTAGATTTGACTAGTTACACTACAGTCATAAAGAGTCATGAAATATCTCTGATGACTGGTGTTGCCTCTGAACATTTTCTAGTACTTATGTTTTTTAAAGCAACATCAATACAAGCTCCAGTCATTACCATAAAGTAGGAACAGTTACTCCTATTTCAGTAAAAAGATTATGCCTTCTCTGCTGTTATAAGTAGCTACCACATGACTGATGGTAGAGTTGTAGAAACACTCAATATAACAAATCCACAATTTTTTATTTTTGTGTATCTGCAATTTGACTGGGTTAATGCTAAGAATTCCCATCTTCCCATCAATAATAACAGATATATGCAATAAGTAATTTCATTAAATGCTGTTATACTGAATGGCTAACAATATTTACTTATCTTATTTGGTATTTAGTTGTATTACATGTACATAGAGAAATACTGCACAAGTTTTTACATTTAGATATGAAAATAACCAAATTGCCAGCATGAAGAAAACATCAGAAAGAGAAATATCTAAGTTGGGAAAAAAAAAAAAAAAAAT